ATTGAGTAAAGACATGGGCAAAAACTGGAAGTATCTCCAGGAACCAGACAGGACTGTGTGCACAAGGGAATGGGAATCTGGGAGCCAGGAGCTCGCTGCTTCCGCTGACCCAAGGACACCAACTCAGCAGCTGCAGCACCAGGAAGGCCGCTGCTGTCACACTTAGTGGTAAGGGTTCACTCTTGGCCTTCTGCTGGTGGAGAAGACCCAAAGCTTCTCATGAAGCTGTTTTTACCCAGAGCCCATGAGCATCCTGTCTCCTGAGGCAGCATGGGGCCAGAGTCCCACCACCCAGATCCAATTCCTGGCCCTGTTTCTTAGCATGTGAACAGGTACAAATTACTGGGCGTCCCTACCCTACTCTCAGAATCCTCATCTGTAAAATGGAGACAAGTGTAGCACCGGCCTCGCAGGGTTTCGGAGAGCACTGGCTGAGAAAAGAATACTGTCTGGGTCACAGTAAATGTCCCTTCGTTAGCTTTTAGGTAGAGGCCAGGCTTAGGGAAGTCACCCAGCCCACAGTGGCTCAGTTCTTAGAGCCAAGCACATAAGTTGGGCAGTTAAAAGTCAGATTCTCGAGGCTACCTTTTAAACAAGTCACCTTCATTGAGGAACAGTATTTCCTTTAACATTAGTATTTTATTTTATAGAGATGTACCACAAAAGTCAAAAAGCCATTCTATAAATACACTTTCACATGCTAAATATAAAAGCATGCTTGTTGTCTCTATCAAGTGGATCTCAAACGCTATGCCTGGAAGATGCGGCATGGCCGGGAGGGGGGCTGCTGGAAGAAACTGGAGTAAGAGGCAGGACTCTCAGATTGTGGCGGGACTAAACTCAGATACTGACGCGCCATGAAAACTCTCTGAAAGTTCATTTGAACTGTGTTAAAATGCTCTCTTTGGGCAGTGAGAGAAAAAAGGCCGCTCTAAGTGGGGTGTATAAAAATGTGTAGATGTCGAGGGCCTCTGGACTTTGGATCTGTGACAAATAAGAGTTTAACTGTTACCGTGCAACTGCACAGTTGTGTTCCCAGGACGTGGCCTCAACTGCACAGGCTCAGGACGTACCCCGTGCTATCCCGAGGCCCGATCGGGACTGCTCATCTGCAGTGACAAAGACTGCTGCAAGCGATCTCCCGGGTGCGTTGGTTAAGCAGCGATCACTGAGAAGGGGAACTGCTGGCTGGGTCTGTGCACAGGCAGGCGGGGGCACACAGGCAGGACAAAGGGGCATGCAGAGAAGGTCACCTGTGGTCTGCCACGCGGCCGACAGGGAGGCAGAGGAGGGGGAGGAGAGAGTGTGATCACTTTTTTGGGGCAGGTCCGAGAATGCTGCTTTTCCCGTCGCTTTTACACCAACAGACACAAACAAAGAGAACATTGGTGAAACAGTAGCACGTGAAAGTTGGTACCAGAAGGTCCGGAAGGCATTTGCCAAAGGCCTCCCAGAGGTCCCTTGCTTGGCCCTCCATCCTCAACAGCCAATCACAGAGTCATCAGAGCGGGTGGCAGGATCCACCCTGGCCTCCATGGAGGATGCACCCTGTGAGGTGCAGATCACACGTGATGTCTGCAGCTGAGCTTGTCATGCAGCGCTTTCTAAATGCCAGGGATCACGGCGTGTCCTTCTTTGTTGTCTTTATCAAGGAAGTTGGGGGACAGAAAGAGTGGACGTGGTGGTAAGTAGAACAGGCACAAGGGCCGACCATCTGGGGGGACTGTGGAGACCACCCCTTAATGCAGGAAGGCACTGCTCTCACCCTCCCCCATGACAACATCCTGCCTCTGCGCCTCTATTCTCAGTCCCCTCACACGCACTCAGAAAGTTCCAGAAAACTACCAAGGAGATACAAGAAAGGACAGGACAGAGGATAGAAAATGACACTAGGTGGATGCCATGCATATGCCCAGGGACTGTTCCCTGCTGGGCCTCTCCATGGGGTTCCCTTCCTGTGAGTCTGTCCATGACTTAGAGAACTGCAGTAAGTGATTAAGAAACAACCGCCTTCTGGGGCCTCCATGGTGGTGCAGGCAGTTGAGCGCAGCGCTGTGAAGCTGTCTGCAGCCTCCGGAGTGCCGGTTTGATCCCCACATGGCGAGCAGACCTCTCCTGTCTCACCCGCTGCTCCCCTCAGCAGTTTATTTTGGTCCTTCTGCCTCTTCTGTTCCCCGCTCTGTCTCTGGTGAATCCTCTCACCCTCCCGCACATCTGGCCTGTACCCGAGTTCGTGTATAAATAAAATAAATCTTAAAAAAAAAACAACAACAAAAAGAAACAACCACGTTCTGGGGTAGGAGGAGCCTCAGCATCACGATGCCCAGAGTGTGCAGGGCAGCACTGGGCAGAGTCTGGGAGAAAGATAAAGTGAAGCCAGGAAAGGGCTCCTATTTGTTCCACCCTCACACGACAATCTACTGCCAAACCAAAGTTGGCTAATGTGCAGCTTGCCTGCAGGAAGCGTTTCTGAAATCAAAGGCAAAAGGGTGAAGAAGGGAAGGGAAGAGCCAGTGTTGACACGGGAAGGCAAAGAGGAGCAGTCACGGGCAAGCAGAGTTGTTATTCATGTCCCTCTTCCATACTATGACCTAAGTCGAAATTGGTCTCTGCACCAACCCAGCCGTGCTTGGCGCTTTCACACCCTCCCGCCTCAGTCTAAACCACTTCAAGGGAAGCACAAAGTGAGTCATGAGGAGGTGCTGCTGCTCAACCCCCGACTCCTAAGGGGACACAAAAGGGCCAGCAGTCAGGGTGCATCAGAGGCAGAGGGGCCCAGGGCACCATCAGAGCCCCTGGCTTCTGCAGCACCTGGCCCTGCACCCCAATGCCTGCCTCTCGGGAGACAAAGGCCAAGACTCATCCTTCCCTGACTCAGTGAGGGGAGAAGGTTCTGTGTGAATATCACTTCACTGCGAGCCACAGGTCTTTCCCAGCAGTGCCTCCCTGCAGCCAAGTGAATTTACACTTCCCAGCTCCACACAGCATGAAGCGCACAAACTTGAGCGGGACTTCATTGCTCAGACTCCTACTTACCAACGCTCACTACCCAGCTGCTCTTCCCAATCTCCGGTGCCCCCTCTGCAGAAGCCAGGTCTGCCCTGGAGGGTGGCTCCTGCTGCCTGGGGACCCCAGTGGTGTCCCACGTCAGGGACTGTGATCACGGATTACAAGTTAGCCAACCCCAGGCTGGGGGACACCAGGCCCTTCACAGACAGGAGAACACGAGCTCCTGACACCCCTTCAGAACAGCTCAGTGAGGGAGGAGCCGACGTGCCAGCTTCCAGGACAGAGGCCTCGGCTTAGCCAGGCTCCTCAGCTCATACTGATGGCCTGAGACTTCCCAGCAACACCACCCAGAGCCGCCCCAGACCCGGGCTGTGGAAACCATTTGTTCTCATCTGCACAGTTCAACTGACTTCCCTTCCCCCGGCTCCTCCTATTCAGGAGGCTTTCATGAATATGAGAGTCCAGAGTTTGGAGAATCCAGCTTAGAGTTCACCTTCTCCTTTAACAAAGGCTCAACATGCCTTCAACTAGACTCCAAGGCAAAGGGCAAATGGAAGTAAATTTCTGTGAGGGTTTCCCCCGCCCTGGAAGACCTCCCCAGGCCAAGAAAGTGGCAACTTGGCTTGTGTCATGAGTTTAGACATTTCTCCCAGTGTCTCTCAGCATCACGGGCCCTCACTTTAATGTGGCATATTAAAAGGACATTTTGCCCTGAATATAAATCCGATAAAACCCACGGCCACTCCCAGCCCTCCCATCCAGCGCTGTCACGCTACAGCACAGGAGCGGATCAAGGTCAGCTCATCCGGCCTCTTAGAACGTCCGTCTTAAATGAAGCCAAAGCACGGGACAGCGCATCCCGGCAGCACTGACTAGAGCAGGAACTGGCTCGTGTGACAAGGGAGGGAACATGGTGGAGGCCCCTGCCCCTCTGACGGGGGCTGTTCCTGCTTCCTTTCTGTCTGATTCCATACAGCTTCGGGGAGAGAGCTTTCCAGGAGATCCTGCTAAGGCTATGGTGAAAATTTCTAGAAAGAGTAATGTAGACAAACACCAAGACTGTATCTGTGATCATCTTTGGGCTTTGAGGCACATAAAAATCATAGTTCAAGACGATTTCTTGGTCTCTTGGCCTTAGCGCCATCTTCCTCGAAGCCTCCGTGCCATAAGAGCCCAGTGGAGGAAGAAGCGAACGCGCAGGCTGAAGCGCGAAAGAAGAAAGATGAGGCAGAGGTCCAAGTAAACTAGTAACACCCATGAAGCCACAGAAGCAGAAATAAGGAAAGCCGGAGGCCAGAGATGCTGGTACAAATTGTTGCACTGCAGGCTACTGTCTAGCACTTTGTCTCAGTGAATCTAGAACATCCAACACCATCCGATCACTGCGAACACCTTTGAGAGACCCACCTTGCTCGTACCAAAACCAGTCCCTTTTGATCCTTTGCCCTGGACCTGTGACATTCTGGACTAGTTCTGTTCTCAGCTGGCTGAACGTAACACGTGTACCATATAAACCATCCCTTCTGCTGTCTTGGCTGAAGAAGAAAATTAAAAAAAAAAAAGACTATTTCTTGGATGCCACTTCCCTGTTTAACATGAAAGGCTCTACTGCTCAAATTCTCAGACTACAAACTCAGAATTCTCCCTCCAGTGGTAGTCAGGACACACTAGGAAACAGTCAACTTGGAACAAAAGGTCATGATAGCAAAACCCAAAGACAGTGGTACCGGGACAGGACAGCACAAGGCTTCAGCAACACCAAATGGACAGCCCTCCCTTTGAACTGGCTTCCCAAAGCCCACGGAGTCAGACAAGTCAGACAGGCCAGTTAGCACTGTCTCGTGCCCTCCTGAGTCACCACTCGGTGGGCACAGGGACTTTCTGCTCCGTGAGCCTGGAGTCAAAGTGCAGGCGCAGATGGAGAAGTGGGTTGAGAAGGCACTGGGGGAGGGGGGCAGCACCCATCTGGCCCCTGTGAGCAATTCCTTTACCTGTTTCCACTGGGGGGTGGGAGCAGGGCGACCCTGCCCAGGTAGGCAGCAGGACGGCTGGCTGACCCCACGCTCTTGTGTCGGCTGGGACACACGGGTCAAGCGTGGGTGGGGGACAGGACATAGAGACAAAACAAAATAAAATACATTAATAGAGGAGAAGACACGGAGAAGGTGCTCATGGAGGGCACACATCTATGAGCTGGGAGTGGGGGAGACAGAATCAATTCCTAGAAAGTTACAAAGGAAACAACACAGCCCCCCCAAAACAAAAGCAAATGCAAGAGAAAAGTAGGGAAATAGAAACTAATTATTGTCTCATTATCCTTTCCCCATCTCAATCCTCTGAGTCTAAAATCTCTCCATTCAAAACAAGGAGAACAACCTTCTCTTGCAGGCAAACATCCTAGGATGGAGTGCACACCAGATTTCCTGGCTTGAGGGGTGGGGAGCAGAACCTGGGGCTATGAGAACCAAGAGGTAACCCCAAGTGCTCAGCAACATATATGATCATCTTTTTTTTGTGAGCCACAGCATGAAATGACTAGAGTGTGAAGATTAATAATCAAGGATGAGATGTGAGAAGTTAACTACGGGGGCCTCCCCTGGTGGCGCAGGCGGTTGAGCGCTGTTCTGTGAAGCTGTCCGTAGCCTCTGCAGCGCCGGTTCGATCCCGGCCGGCTGGCGAGGGTCCCACATGGTGAGCAGATCTCTCCTGTCTCACCCGCTGCTCCCCTCAGCAGTGTATTTCATCAGTCTGCCTGTTCTGTTCCCCGCTGTCTATGGTGAATTCTCTCACCCTCCCACGCATCTGGCCTGTACCCCGGCTCTTGTATGAATAAATAAATAAATAAGTCTTAAAAAAAAAAGTTAACTACGGCCAGACTCTAAGCACAGTCAGCCTCCCTCCCCCTCCACGGTGCAGAGGAACAATGGTTGATGCGTATGGAGAGGATGAAGAGAGAAAAGCAGGACAAGAATGAGCTTTTCTCCTCCAGATACTCTCTTCAGGTCACCAGGGGGTTTGACAAGAAACTCAGAGGAGTGAGGACACCAGTCCCGGGCACCTTCTCACACAAGAAGCCTTCATGACCTCTACACAAGCAAACAAACAGACAAGAGTCACCACACACCTAAAATGCTCCCACCCAGCACCTTAGCCTTGACTCATGGGGATGCAAGTCTACAGCCATGAAGAATCTTTAAAATGTTCACACTCTTAACCTAGTTCAAGGACAGACTAGGAAGATCATCTGGAACACATGGAAGAAACTTTAGCACAAGACCGTTTATCTCTGTAATCCTCAGGAAGGAAGAAGAACAAACAAAGGGAGGGGTAAGACAAGCATAGTGCACCTTTGGGTCCCACACAGGGCTCTAAACCAATGTTGCCTTAATTTAACAACAAAAAAAAAAAGAACAAGAAAAGCACAGCAGACACACATTTTGGAAGATGCCTGTGAAGAGTTTAGGACAACATGGACATATGCCAAAGTTACATAAAAAAGGCAGAAAAGTGTATTATTAAGAATGGCCTCAACTATGAAGATAAGAATGTACTAAAAAAATACCTACCAGAAGAAATAGAGAAATATTAAAAGGATTAGAGGTATGTTAATTTTTTTATACTTTTCAGCATTTTCCTCAGTAAGTACGTACTTTTCTAATTTAAGCACATATGTATGTATGTATGTATGTATGTATATATGTGGGCACAGACGTGTGTACAGAGACACAGATACAGACCTAAATAATTTAAATCCCTATGATTTGGGGATACAGACACGCTGGACCCGACTGGTGGAAGGAGGCATCTCTGAAAGCTTATGAGGCGCTTACGACCTGCTCTTGTCTGCCAGGCAGGCGAGAGGAAAACCAGACACAGTCTAAGCCCTCGAGTCTTGGGTGTGACCAGCCCATCCCATACACATGGAAATACCCCCCCTTGAATATGGCCTGACCAGGCCCGGGGGCTAGGGCATCAGATGGGCTTACCTGTCTCCGCATGCCGGTGGACTGAGGAGGGGCATTCTCTTCAAATTTGGCCAGCAGCTGGGTTGCCATGTACTTCACTTTGTTCTGGTTGCCGAGGGCTGCGTCCATCCTCCTGTCTGTCAGGGTGCTCACCAGCGTGGGCCGTCCCCCTCTGCAGGCTCGGGGCGCGTCCTCCTGATGAACAGGGACCACCGAAGACCCAGCTTCTGTTAGAGAACCTGTCCGCTCAACAGACACCCTCCCCTCAAACGCCAGTTAGTGTCTGCCACAGTGGCTGGTATTGTTGCTTTAGTCTGAACTTAACAACACTGTTAAAGTTCTAATCTCAAGATGGAGTCAGCCAGACTTCAGTGCAGGGACTGTATAGGAAGACACTTAGAATTAGGCTGGTGTTGTCATACACCAGGAAGCCACTGCCTGCCAACTGTGTGATTCCAAAGAGGCAGGAGAGCCCGTGTGTGTGTGTGTGTGTGTGTGTGTGTGTCCCTCAAATGTCCTCCAAAACATTAAATGAAGGCAAAAGGCCTCAGAAAAAGTACCTGCCTACAAAAATTCTCATAAAAGATGAAAATGGAAAGATCTAGCAAAAGCGATCTGGAAATTAAGGATTTCAGTGAAAAAAGGCAATTATTAATATAACCATTCTAGCAAGTCACAGGTAATTCTTACCTCTTCTGATTGACTGGTCTTTCTTCTCTTTCCAGCACCATCCAAGTCCTTTTCCTTCTTATCCTGTAGCAAGAAAGGAGAAGCCTGCATTAGGAGTCACTATATTTTGCCATTGGCTTTGCAACTGGTAAAAAGGACTCCTCCAAAATAACACTGCATTGCATAGTTGGAAGTTACGAAGAGAGTAGATCTTACAAGTTCTCATAAGAAAAAAATTTTGTGGGGCCTCCCTGATGGCGCAGGGGTTTGAGCACCGCACTGTAAAGCGGTAGCAGCCTCTGCAGCACGAGTTCAATCTCTGGCCGGCCAGGGAGCAACCCGCATGGTGCGGCAGGCCTCTCCTGCCTCCCCCGCCCGCTGCTCCCCTCAGCAGTGTATTTCACTCAGTCTGCCTGTTCTGTTCCCCACTCTGTCTCTGGTGAATCCTCTCACCGCCCCCATCTCTGGCCTGTGCGCCGGCTCTTGTATGCATAAATAAATAAATCTTTAAAAAAAAAATTTGTAACTATGTGTGGTGAAGTATGTTATCTAGACTTACTGTGGTGAGCATGTCACAAAATATGTACCTATCAAGCCATTATGTGGCATACCTAAAACTTAAGAGTTCTCTGCCGATTTATATTGCAATCAACAAACACATTCTTCATTTACCTTGGGAGACCGCTTCCGAGAGATGGTCTGTCCCAGCTTACTTAGGAAGGAGATGGGGGATTTAGTGCTGGCTATCAGGACTGCTTTCTCCTCAGCATTCAGTTCCAAGGCATCTGTGAAGAAGAAGAAATATTTTTTGGAGGGACCTCAAAGCACTGACCAGAACAAGCCTCATGTCTGATGGTTCACCCACTCCAGTAAGAACACTCAGTAGGAGATCCCACAGAGGAAATGTGACTTGGGCTGACACTGACCCTCTTTTTCTCTATGTGCATAAATAAAAATCAACTCTTTTCCCCAATGCAAATTAGTAACAACCCCCTCACCCCCAACTTGATTCTCCCAAGTTGGACCCCACCTGTGAATATTAGTTAAAGCAGAGTGTTGAAGCCTCACCTTTGGAATAGAAATTTCAGGGAGAGAAAGAAATTGGGAGGAGGGGAGTATGGAACACAGGTCACCCATGCACACACTCAGCCTCACACTGGGGAACCCTCTCTGACTGGGTCTATTGATTTGGTAGATTTCTGTTTTAAGAACTGCGTAGCTAATCATGAAAAGCTACAGACATCTCTAAGAGCAAGTGGGCTGGAAGACACTGGAGAATGGTGGCACAGACTCTGTGGACCCCAAGTTTTACTGGCAACATTACTAATTTCAAAATATAAATCAGAACTAGTAATGTAATACTAGCATGTTTTGTTTGCAAACATTGTCAGGATATCACAGTCTAACTACATATGTTATCCTTATTTTACAGCTGGGGAAACTGAGTCACAGGACATTAATAACTTGTCTAAGGTTGAACAAGTGGAGTTCTGGGATGTAAATCCAGGCCAGGTACCATGCTCAACCGTCTTAAGCATGATGCTAAGCTTCCTCCATGGGACAATAAAGGACAAGAGAAATGTTTTTTGTAGCAGCAGGTTGAGGGCCAAGGAAAGATTTTTGGTAAACTTTAAGAAGAAGGAGAAGAAGGAAAAGCCAGAGAGGGGGCAGTTACAGAACAAGGAGAATGGGGCGACTGGGGCGGTGTATCAGAAGCCAGGGGAGGGGGGAGAATTTCAAGAAAAAGGAGACCATTCCGTGGTGCTGAGCAGTGCAGAAGGCACAAGTAGTGAGAAAATAAGCATGTATGGATTTGGGGTTCCTCAGGACTATGGGGAACCACTTAGGCAACAGAAAAAACAGAAGTGGGGATGGGATGCTAGGTGCCAGGAAGCCAAGGCAGACCCCAGCATGAGCCATTTTTTCAAAACGGCTGGGTCTGAGCAATGGAATATGAAGAGGTGGTACAGTCAAGGAAAATAATTTTTAGTAGAAATGATATTTGCATATTTCTAGATTTCGTGAGAATATGAGGGAGAGAATGAGTGGCAGGCTGCAGGGAAGGGGAAACCGACAGAGTCAGGCTGCAGGGACTCGCCCCTGGCCGACCAGCAAGCACAGAGGAAGCACAGGTCTGCTCTTGGTGGCAGCAACTGACAGGGCGGGAAGGAAGCAACGAGACGGGGCAGGGGCACTGGCGCTACCCCGGGTGCTCACCGCTGGAGGGAAGAGAGTCCTTGAACATCTCGTAGAACTGAGTCAGGTACATCACCATGGAGAGCGTGTCAGGCTGCCCCACGGAGGCCATCTCTTTGCCTGTCATGATGGGAGAAATGCCCAGTTCCTTCTCAGCAATGTCAAAGGCCAGCTGGTTATTCTTCTCCACATTTTGCTCATCCAAAGAATCGAAGTCTCTGAGAAACAGGATGGAGAAAATGTATCAAGATGGACTGCTTGTTGCCAAGCCAGAAAACACGACATCCTGGAGTCACCGGCATTTACCAGGCTTTCGGCTCAGACCTAGGTGTCGGGTGTGACTGAAATCTGAGCACAAACCTTTTTATCTCACTTCTCAGTCTCCTTCCGTTTACTAAGGAAGTGTAACTCATCCTCCAGGAGAAGAAATGATTAAAGATCGACCCATAGAGGAAAAAATCCCTCATTTTCCCAATAGTACAAATTTCTTTAACAACAACAATTAAATAAAACATAAGCTCAAAAATAGGAATCAAAAAAAAAAATCATCTTAAAATGTATTCTTTTGCTCCATATAAAACTAATGTTCAAAAGTGCTGTAAATCTTTTTTTTTTTTTAAGATTTATTTATTTTTATACAAGAACCGGGGTACAGGCCAGATGCGTGGGAGGGTGGGAGGATTCACCGGAGAGAGAGCGGGGGGAACAGAACAGGCAGACTGACGAAATACACTGCTCAGGGGAGCAGCGGACGAGACAGGAGAGGTCTGCTGCACCATGTGGGTTGCTCCATGGCTGGCCAGGAGCGAACCTGCACTGCAGAGGCTGCGGACAGCTTCACGGTGCTGCACTCAACCACCTGCGCCACCAGGGAGGCCTAAAAGTGCTGTAAATCTTATTTGGAGCAGACTGCTTCTACACGCCTAGGGCGATCACCCACCATGCCCTTTGGACCTGACATACTAATCAGCTCTGGTAACTCTTACTCAGCCTTCTAGTCCAAGGGAAATTCCAAGACCTTCCTAAAAAGATTTTTCCACTGCTGAATTTCCTGAGTTTTCCCAAATATCGTGATTAACAAACATTTCCCACTGTTTCTAGCTCCTTGTATTTAGCCAAGTAAGAGCAACAGATTCTCTTGAGATGATTTCAGATTAATGAACCAGGCCTTATTTTTTTGGTTAACCTATGACTCCACAGCAGTTGTTTGTTTTTTAAATTCCTTTTCTCTGTAGATTAAGTGTATGAAGCCACAGAGGCCTCGTCCCGGATGAAGTCATGGTCGTCTAAACTGCGCCAGATGACCTACTCGCTGTTTCGTGTTCTGCCACGAGAATATTCCCTAGACCTTCTCCCGACAGGCTTCCATCTGTTCTGACAAGAATGTGGCGCCTACCTACTGGATTCCCTTTTGTTGCTTTTGCCTTCAAGTTCCCCACCGGCTTTTCTTTGGGATAGAAATGAGTTGCTTCTAAAGCACATCTGTGCCATTTTGCATAATCTGTGTTATGCTGCTCTCCCTCCTCTGCAAGTGCCCCCCACCTCCTGCTTTTTGGTGGGGGTGAATAAGTCTGCTTTCACTTACCTCTTACCAGCCTTCCCACCTACATGTGAACTAAGGGACAGGAGCAATGCAGGTCACTTGCCTTTATCCAAAAGAACCAGAAATCCCCATTCCTAAATCACACCGTGCAGAACTGTTTTTACTAGCTCTTGCCTCATTCACTTAGAAGTTAATATAAATAGGACTGTGTCTTTTAGGATTCCTAAAGCAATCGTTAAAACAAAACAAACACACAAAAACCGGGCGCTTAGGTGGACCTAGTGAGAAAAGGACAGGCAGCCAAAATAAATCAGCAAGCTCTGCTTCTGTTTCTGAATCTTTCTGTTTGGCTTCCATGGTAACGGAAGCTTATGGGGGAAATCTGAGCGCACAGGTCACTGCAGTTGACCTGAGGCCAGCCTGGTGCACTGATTGTCAGGTGAGTAGACAATGGCCCAAAGAGGAGATGTTGCTGCTACAGGAGGGTAAGGAGAACTGAGTTTTGACAGAGCATGTTTGCAAAATGTGTAGCCCTTAACAAAGATATTACCAACACACCGTCATCAATCGGGAAAGGGTTAGTTGTTTTTTTGTTTTCTTGGTAGTGACATACTTGCTTGCAGGCTGCCAAATGTTCTAGCCGGCTTTTCCTTGTGACCAATAGCATTTGAGAGATAGCTGGCTGAAACAAAGAATTCAACCTGAGACCAATCAACAGTTTTCCCTGTGTGAAATTAATCGGTCCAGGTGGGTATTAAAAGCCAGTTTTTAACCTTCTGAGTGCTGTGAGGCTGAGGTTTGAAAAACTCAGCCAATCATTCCTGGGGTGAGCAACACAATGCTTGGCATACAGAAGTTAAAGTATGGACTAAATCAAAATTAATCCCTGCCTTGTAGAGAAAGTTTCTTACTGGGTGTCTCATTCTAGGAATAAGTGCAGAGTTTGGCTGTTTGATAAGAGGGTAGTTCTGAGATCCTTAGGAAATAGAAATGAAACACAAAGTTTGGTAATGACTTACATCAGATCAGGCCGATACCGATGGATAATGGCACACAGGGCCAGGCCACTCTTCCAGGACATGGTGAGATCTGTCACATTTACCCCTGCGTAGCCATCTGTCTGTCTTTGGCACCAACCCAGCAGTTTGCTCGAACGAGCAATGGACTCTAAAACAACAACAAGATCATTACTGGAAGAGTGGTGACAAGCACATGGATGCAAGATCTTCTCTGTGGTACACATCTCCGGTTTGAAAATTTGCAGAAGGCGGGGACAATACGGTCATCTCTGCTCTTGCAAAGTAAGCAGCAAGGTGACTGGCATTAGAACAGTGGAATTTTAGATAGATAAGAAATTCACCCAGACCAATTCATGAAGTTAATGTCCATTCTCCTAACAAAATGACAAGTCACAACCAGGCTGGCCTGGACCTTCGTGAAGCCCACCGTGCCTGCAGCACTCACGGATGCTGACCAGACGGAAGAGCGCCACCTACTGACCTGTCACCCGCACTTGCCACAGTTCTAAGATTTCCCTGGACAGCTTGCCTGGCAGTTGGCTGAGGAAGCTCCTTCCCGTCAACTAACATTGGGAGGATTAGATTAGAAAAGGTTCCATTCTATCCAGTGGCACATCAAACCGATAGCCAACAAAGCCTGCCTCTTGTGCTTTCCAAGATATTGAGAAAATTGCCAAGTGAAGAAACTCCATAGGATTACACAGGAACCGCCAGGGACCCCAGATCAGAAAACTCCCCCGGCTAGTCTTGGCACATCTTGGAAAACGGAATATGCAAACATATATTTGGATGCTTTCCAGCGCACTGATATGTCTTCTAAAACACGGCCTTTATAAAAATCCATTTTGCTTTTTCTTTTATTTTTTTTTTGGTTATTTTTTAATGTTCATATTTTTTATAAGCATATATTTATTACATCATCCTTCATTTTTGTACAATGTATGATATCCTGTGAAATCTAATCACCAATTCAGCCGTGCTCCATCACCATAGTCCCTTGTGCTCTTCCCACCCCTGTCTTGATCCCTCTCCCTCTCCCTCCCCTACAGAATGTCTCTGGTCTCTGGTTGCCTGTTGCATTTTTTCTTAATTGTACCAGAAGAGCTCTGCAGGAGAATCGGTGAACTCCTGTCGTGTCCAAGGAAGTCTTGCTTCTTTACCTAAAGCAGCTGAAAACATTCAGCCTTACACTATGTCACTTAATGATCCGAGAATGTAACCATGTGTCACAAAAATCCTCATACATTTAAGTCTCTCACTGACAATGTTTTGTGAAACTATGGAGCATCCCTTCTGGGAAATGTCCTGGTTTCAGAAAGTAACTGTATTCAAAGGTCCCCCCAGTCTGCATGTCCATCCACCTCACACGTTATGGGCAACCTCAACATTCCAGGCTCTGAAATAATACAACAGTGAACAAAGAAAGACACACTCTCTGCTTTCAAGAGGACACCCTAGAGAAAGAAGACGAAAATGTTTTCAACTGCCTGCTGGGTTATCATTCAGCCACCTCGCTATCCCAATAGCACATCCATTTCAAAATATCCCAAGCAGAACTCAAACGTTTACCCTCCCGTTTCCTTATTTAGACTACCTGTTTCTTGACTCACAGTGCAAACAAACTGCCAATGCCCACCCAGTCCGGCTCCTTACTCTTCTCTTTCACACAACCAATGATGGCAACGACATAATGGCTGCCATGCTGACTGCCCACAGGATGCCAGGCCTGGTAACAAGCACACCACACACGTCACAGAATCCTCACGACCACAGAGCGCGGCAGGGACCGGCTTCCCTCATTTCATAGAGGAAGAAACCAAAATTCAAGAGCTGCCAAGCCTCCTGTTGAAGTCACTCACTTTACAAATGGCAAAACTTGGACTAGGACCAGCTGCATCTGGCTCCACAGCCAGAGCTAGAGGTTCTAACTGCACTCCACTGCCTTCTCCCTTCTGGCATCAACACCACGGTCAGCTGCCACCCTGACCACGGCAGGGCACTGCCAGCGTCCTGCCCCTGGCCCTTTCTTCCATCACTTCGCCTCAAGCGTTACTCTCCTTCGTAAAAAACCTTCGGGAGTCCTTCGAAGCACACAAAATAAGAAACAGTTTTTTATTTCAAGAGCCATATTTTGGCAAGGTCGCAGCCACCCTCACAAGCCTCAGTTGTCATGTGTGCCATGTGCTCTGCGACTTCTCTACAACAGCTGTAGCTCATTTATCTTTGAGCCCTATCACACCTCAAACAAAGGTTTCTCGGCTCTGGTATCTCTGATGCTGCTGGCTGGGGAGCTCTTTGTCGTGGGGCAATGACGTGTGCACTGTAGGAGGTCAGCACCACCCCTGTGTGCCGGGAGCACCCTCCCAGCTCATGGCAGTCAAAAATGCCTTCAGACACCACCACATGTCACTTGGGGGGCAAAGTCACCGCTAGTCAAGAACCGCCGCCTTAGATAAAGTTGTGCATGCCAAAAGATCAAATTTGGGGTAAGTAGAGGTTCTTCTGGAACAGGTTACCTGCATTTCAAAAAAACATTACCAAACTCACCGTTGCGAGTCAGCTTTGGGGTAGTTCGAGAATTCACCAGGTTCTCCATTTCCAGATGAATATCTTTTGTTTCTCCAGTATCATATAAATGGCGCACCTGGTAGCAAGGTAAAAAGTCACAGAGAAGGAAAATCAATACCAAGTAACAAAGACCCACGTGAGAGCAGAATGACCACGATGCAAGACTGGGCCAGCAGGTTGGGCAACGTGTAGGCTGGAGCAATGTCGACGGCCTTTCAATCCTTCCAGAACATGGTGGGCTTACATATGAACACACACATTTGAACTCAGAAGACCTTGGTCACAAGGTCCCTCAGATCATCTGCTGGACCCTTCACGTTGTCCAGCAACAGCCATGGAGGCCTCTGCACTGAGCACACACAACACATGGGCCTAAGGCTTCCAAACTTCAGGTAAAAAGTGAATAAAAAATGTGTGTTGAATGAGCTGCTCTCTCAAAACTATTAGGCTCTTTGGGATCATTACGCTTAGTGAAAATGTCATTCTCGACACAGAAATAAGGTTTTAGACATTCTGAGAAGAACGCGGTAGTACAAAAGTGACCCATAATATCTTCTACTCCTATCTTTCAAGTGAACCATCTCATTTTTACATGTTCTTGGATTATGGAAAAGTGCTGTGTGTCTGTTTGGTATTAATCAACAAGTTTCAATATTTCAAGTCAGATGTATCCCGAAAATGGGCCCAGATGAAGACAACGCAAACTCTTACCTGGCTTGGCCGGAGGAAGTTGACGTTAATATTGGGGTATCTGGTGACAGGGTCAATGCTGTATTGGCTGAAGTTTTTACTCACATTCTCAGGGGTGGTCTGAGGCAGCAGCCGATAAATGCTTTCCCTGCAACGACACGCCAGGTGCATTCATGGCGCCATCAACATCTCCCTCACCTTTGGCAGTATTTCTAGTTTCTGATAAGCCCCAATGACCCAAGGCTATGAGAAATCCTCCTCCTCGACAGGTTTCCTCCAAGCCTACATCAGCCCTTGCTTTCCAATCTCACCAGCTCAGTAATTCCACAGGCCCTGGACGAGCTACTAATCAGCAAGAACAAGCATCGCTGTGGGGTAGGGGTAAATGTCTCACACTGATTTGAAAGGCAAATGGTGCACTGTTGTGTCTTTTCAAGTGAGCCAATATGTAGTGTTTAAGAAAATCACAGATGGGAAAAGAACTCGCCGCTAAATTTACCCAGGGTCTCTCAAGTAGCAGACTTACACTATCAACCACCACTTTTATCAAGGAAACTTTGTTTCTCTAGTTCTTCTGGCCGAGGCATTTGCTCTTCATCAGCCAGCAAATCCTCGGATGTGCAATTCATTTGCGATGATCTATTTCAAAATATCTAACATTTGGGAATTTGAGAAATGTTTACAAGCAGCTTTAGTGGTTTCTGTGCATTCAAATCACTTTGGATTTCTTCTGTTAGTGTACCTCAGCCACTATGCTGATGTCAGTAGTAGAGGTCTTTCTAGTTGAAGGAAAAGAGGACTTAATTTGCTATTTACATGTATCTATACCTGTCAGAGAGGAATCAGGTGTCAAGCTTCAGTGGTACAGAGAGATTCAGACAAATTTCATTAAGACAGGAAAGGCCAGATACTTATTCTGTGACCTTATGACCTTAACAATAAGTATCTGGCCTTTCCTGTCTTAATTCCGAAAATATTTTTAATTAAGAAGGAAGAACGAACCTGCAGTCTGCCACACAAGTAACAACTTTGTCACTATTCCCCATATTCTCCCAGAAAGGACGCCCGGGTTACCTCTCGGCCAAGACTTCCAAGGGGCTTGTCCCTAGAGACCAGCTTCGGACCATCCAGGCAGAATCCATGGCAGCGAGAAAGCCCCGAGCGATTCCTGTTCCCATTGGCCAAAAAGGCTACACAGGGGAAAGAAAGCAAATAGTTCAATTACCTTTCAAAAGAGGGAAACTAAACTAAGGAACAAGGAAAGAGTTTGCTGTTGAGAGTTGTTCTTGGCAAGTGTTCAGACACGGGGCTTCTCTGCTTCAAACTGGTGGAGAGGTAAGTCAGCGGTGCACCTCTGCCCGCCTACTTAGCAAGGCTGGGGTCCCGGCTGGAGCCTCGTCTCCCCCACTTCGGAATGTGACTCTGTGGCGGGGTGCGTGGATGCTGTACAACATGGAAGATGTTCACCCCACAACCCAGACTGCTTGACTCCACAATACTCACCTCTAGGAGGCTGTCCCCAACCAGTGCCACCAACAGCTGATGTCCATTCTGCTCCCGCACCAGGGCTGCGTTCTCGGAGGCGTACATACATGTGAAGTCGAACATGGCCACGTCGGGCTGCCCGTAGTGATTGATGGCAAAATCCAGGGACGGCAGCTGCTGCTGAGTGGAGAAGTCGGCCGCCTCCCTGGCATAGTTCAGCAGAGCCTCCTGGTCCACATTCTCTCGGGAGAGCAAGAGCTCTGTGTCGGCATAGTCCTGTCTCCAGAGAGAGAGGAGGCTTGAGATGGAAACGCCCAGGTCCAGACACAGGCCTCACCGGCCGGAGCCACACCACACACGCCAAGAGAGCCTGGTTCCAGCCACTCCCTTCCCCTAACATTTCCTCACACCCCAAGAGCAGGTCTCCTTCACAGATGAGCAGTCCTGACTTCTCACTTACGTGGAGTAAGTCACTACTTCAATCCTGTCTAATCCAGCTCGCAGAGTAGTTCTGAATATCAGATAAAATAATTTACGCGATGGCATTTTGTAATCTGAAAGGCATTTTACAGTTTGCGTTATTATTGGCAATCACTAGTTTCTGGGTGGCAAATAGCTTTGGACAACTGGGACAGCATGAAGGCACTCAACCCTGTTTACGGCAGCAAACCCATAGCAAGGTCCCAAAAGCTTCTGTGCCAGAAAGACATGGAGGTGGGAACAAGGATAGTCCAGGAGGCTGGGAAAAATATACTAAAAGTGGATCAAAGGTTTTCAAAATAATACATAAGATTCTGAAAGGCTTCACAGAAACCCACCAACAAAGACAAACAATGATGAGAGAAAAAGGGCTCTCCACAAGAAGGACTAGAAACTTCTCTGTTTCGGAGGTTCCTGGCAAATGGAGCCAAGTTTTTATTCTCCTGAAGTGGGGCCTAAAGTTTCAAGAGCCTCTGATGGTACTTCCAGCTACCACTACAAGATGTTAAAAGCCAAAACACAAACACTCAAGCTGGTCCTGGACACAGCGTTTGCTCAGCACTAAGTGGCCACAGTGGGGTCAGTACCTAGTGGCATACACAGACGGCAGGCCCTGCTCTCCTCAAATCCATCAATACATAAAGAAAAGTAAATCAGGTCTTGAAGCCTAGAGTGTTCCTCCTTAATTTTAATTGGTAACCATAATTCTAAGATGGTAGCTTAGAGCCTTAACTTAATGCTAAGACAAGCCAGCTAATTCATTTGCTATTCTTTTTGAGAGCAACATAACAGCCCCAGATCATTAACAAATCAATTTTATCAAGCATCCAATCAGATATCTCTTGCTTGTGCTTTTGGCAGAAAGGGCTGAGCAAATTGCTTTGTACCGTTTCTCCATATAAAGGACCACGAGACTGAGAATCATACAAGGTATGGGGGTGCAAAGGAGGCTGGGCCTCGCCACGTGCCCATCAGCCTGCCCCCCACACCACTCCCAGATAAGGCAACAGTGTAATTCAGGCTAAAGGGACTTGATTCATCAGCATCTGCAGAGACAAAGGACACCCTGAGTCAGTTAAGCGTGGCTGGTGGGAACTGTTATTGGCCTGAGTCAGCACATCTGGCGCCTCCTACTAGGCTTCTTGTCACATGGGGACAGTAATTCTCATATTCAGGCTCAGTAGGACTTGAGAAACCCGCTGTCAGGAGCCCTTCCTTTCAGAGCCGTCCACACTATGAGTCTGATTCCATATTGCAGATCATTATCTCAGGGAAAGTCACATGGTTAGTCACAAGGACTGAGTTGGACCAGGCTAAGGACAGGAAGCCCTTACTGTTAGCTCATAAGGGGGGGTCTAAGCATACCCTGAGGCAGAGTGCTCCCACACCCCCACCTATGTGAGCCAAATCTGCAATAAAATCAGAACCACCGTCAGGTTCCCATAAACACCAATAATCACTTCTTAGTCCAACCCCCTTCCCTGCATCACACCCTCCCAAAAGAGGACCCATTATCCAGCCAATAACAGGGCATACATGGAATTCACAATAACCACAAACTACCATCCCTAAGACTAAACTGAGTATTTACGCATGAAATGGTATCTGCAACTTGCTTTGAAACAATCCAAAGGCAGGAGTGGGGAGGGGGTTGGGGAGCTGAAACGATACTGGCCATGTGTTCATAATTGTTAAAACTAGGTAACAGGCACACGAGGGCTTGTATAATTCTTTCCACTTCTGTATACATTAGAAATTCTCAATAATAATTTTTTTTTTAAGTTAAATAACATTAGAGTATGCTCTCAGGAGAGGTGTTAGGTGCTCATTTTCATTCCTTTGCAGGAAGAACTGATCAGATAATAGCGATCTTTCTCCTGGTGATCACATTAACCTGTACAGCACAAGAGAGAGGTCTGGAAGAAATCCATTGCTCACATGGAGTATCACCCCTTTGTCTAGTAGACTCTGCTTTTTGGCCGTCATCACGAAATAGTGCGTGTCGTCTTTGTAGTAGACAATGTTCTCCAAATCAATACCTGCAACCAGAAAAGAAACTTGAGTATGTAAGTTAGCTGAGATGAAGGGACATTAGGGCAGCCAGAAATCCTGTATGTGGGTCCAAAGAGACTGGGGTTGTACAACTCCATGTAGAGAAAAAGAAAATAAAAAAGATGTCAGAGCCCAGATTCTCACTTTCTGCATTCAGTTGATGAAAAGGAGAGCTTTGTTTCCCCTTGCACTGCTCTACGATCAGTCGACACGCAAGTCACCCTAATGGTGATCAGCAGTAGGCAGACATCTGCGGATGATAAGACTAACTTCTAGCAAGAGGATTCGGGTTAGTTCTCAAGCTAAAACCTCGGCCAGTTCACTCAAGGAAGCTGAGCGAAGAACAGGAGAGACAACTAGATGCTGGAAACCGAGAGTGAAGTACTGACTTTTTAATTCTACTCATCTAGAAAAAAAAAGATGTAATGGAAAGAAATCACATTGTAGAAAATGGAGCATTGGAATTTCCTGCACATTTGTTCAAAAGCTATCATACCACCACCTGATTCCTACCCAGCACGCGGCTACCTGTGAGCCCACAGTGGGGCTCAGGGAGACTACGGCCTCGGGGCCTAGAGTCAGGTGCTGAGTAAACCGGAGGACTACCAGCCAACAGCGCAGTGCACCAAGCACCCCCATAAGGCCAGAGCGTAAAGGAAGGGGATGATGAGGATTAGAAGAAGGCAGAAATGACACTTCAGAGCAAATAAGAAAATAACCCAATCCAGAGCGTCCCAGTCACCGCGGCGAGAACAAGGAACACCAGAGGCAGAGATAAGCTGCCTGGGAAGCATTATGCCAAGGACAAAATATGGGAGCAAAGAGAAAAGTAGAGGGGTGGACGATACACAATAATCCCAAATGCCTCCCACCCTACCAGGCCCTCCAAGAGAAAAATCAAGAGGTTATTTAAATTTCTTCCTCATTGCTTTAGGGGCATCTACACCAACCTGTGGCTTCCCTTAGTTCCTGGAAAAATTTTTGGTTGAATATAAAAGCCACACCACTGATCTCTTCCACTTTGGCTTCTGCTGTTGTATTTCGGTTAATAAAATTCGCTGTGATAGCAATGGCCAGTTTGCCACGAAATTCTTTGCGACGAAATCCTGGAAGGAAAGAAATGTTCAGAGGTGGCAAGAGTTGGCCAGAAGGAAGATCACTTCAGGCAAGAGGGGGTGTTGATGAAGACAGAAGGGAATGTGGGAGTAGGAATGAATGGGAAGATTTTAGGGTAGCTCTTCTCTACCTACTTACCTAAGAACAATTCAGGAAGGGAGGCAGGTAGGGCTCCTCGTGCACTAACAATTTGAAATCTGACTAACCAGACGATTACTCAGCACTAGGGATTCCATCCTGTTCATGGATGTTTAGATTTAATCTTGCAGTGCTAACCTCAAAGTAGAGCTTGTCTCCTAGTGTCCTAACAAGGGTGCTGTGTAGGACGTAACTGGAGTCCCAGTTGGCCAGGCGGGAGAGGGCCTGCCATTGAGTTAGAGTCGGCAGAACACATACTAGCAGATTCTTAGGAGCGGGGACACAGAGAGCGAAGACAGACACATCCCAGCTTGGGCGAGGGCCACTTTTCACTCTGCTATGAACCAGGCGAAAGAGCAGAGGTGAGTATACCTTCCAAGGTGTTCCGACGGCCATCCCCTCCAATGATCACTTCAAATTCATATTCTGACACAGGGTGGGTCTTGGGGTGCACCAGTGCCCGCCAACCTATCCCTGGGAAACAAAGTGAAAATGAAGGTCATTACCCTAGCCACATTCAGATATCTGAGACCTCGCTACATACTCAAGCAGGCATAGCGCACAAGGCCAAGTCAAAAAGAATGTGGTACAAGCCACAGAAAGAAAGAAGCCTTGAAGGCAACTCACAAAGGAACGTTCCCCACCACTATAGGTTGGTTCCTCTAGTTTTCTCCCTGCACCTCATCTCTTCTCAACCGTTCCATGCCCTTTTGCCCCTCCTTCAACTCACGTGTAACCCAACTCACGTTCATTTTCCTGGTCCTCGGGAGGCTGTACAAGTCCTTGGAATTCTACGTTGACATGGATTTCGATGCCTAGGATCAAGGCTACTTTCAAAAGTATTAATTGAAGCTGACGGATACCTGGGGAACACAAGGACCATACCAGTGAGGGCTCTGACACGCTGGCACGAGTTGGCAGGCAATGCTCAGCTTCCCACCCGGCCAGCTACACAGAGTTGACCAGATTCTCAAAGCCTCCTGGAGAGGAGACATTTCCAAGTACAACCTAGAATTTCTTGTTTTCTTTTTTAAAGGAAAACACAATTTGGTGGAAGAGATATTCTAGAGACATACAAGGCCACTTCTACCTCTTGGGTTAGGTATTCAAAACAACCAAAAGCTTTGAGACAATAGGATTCTCCTGTCCATCTTACCCAGATTCAGCCAGGACCACCATTATTTACCCGGATCCGCATCCTGCTAGGACATGGCACTGACACAGCCTGCGGAAGACAGGCACCAGGGGTGTGCCTTCTGGTGTGCTAAGCAGGGCTGACTGCTTGCTGAGATCCCACAGAAGCTCTCCTTTATCCTGCTACCTCACTGATCTTCACACATTCTTATAGGGAGAAACAGGGAAATCTCAATCCAACCTTAGTTTCTTTTAGAAACTAACCAACCTGTGTCTTTCAGAAACTAACCAACCTTGTGTCTTTTAGAAACTAAAACTCCAAGTGATTGAAAAAACTTGCTCATTATCATAATGAGATTTATTTATTAATTTGCTGTCCAGGGAGTACCCATCAGGTGCCCAACCTGGCAGCACCCCAAGCACACTGAGATGAAAATCTAGTCCCTGATCTAGCAGCTCTAAAACCAATCATGCCACATATTAGGCAGACAAATGACTGAATTACTGACCTTTGGTCTTCTCTTAAAACCAATCTTACCTGCAGCCCAAGACTAAATTGCTGGAGTGCATGCAAATCCTCTAAGTCACCGCAGCTTTTTTCCCCAGCTCACCACCATAATCACTACCTTTCTGAGTCACACACCCAAGGACTCACTAAATCCCATGCTAGCACATACTTTATATCTGCAGGCCATGGGTTCTAGGATGCTTTACATATTACAGGCTGGCAGCTGGGCAGAGCCCTTCTTCTGCCAGTGGAATGTGGCAGCTATCAGCCAATGTTTGATAAATTAGCACAACAGCTTCGAACAGCACAAGTTTCTGCAGTGGAAATGTATTTACAGGGCATATCTGGGGGAGCTCAGGGGAAAGTTCCTTGGAAAGGTTTCACTGGAATTATTAATGATGATCAATAAACAAGGCTTCAGCTTCATAATACAGACACAGTCTACACTGAATTGCTTTTTGGTTAGGCCACTTAGCAGTCATGCAAACAAAACCACTGTTTGCATTAACTCTATAGGAGCTTGCGAAAACACAGGCCCAAGATTAGCCTGGAGAGGACAAGAGTGCAGCAAGTGTGTCCTGGCGGAAGGCCTCTCAAGAACCACCTAAACAGAGGAATTCCATTATTTACTGACTTGCCTCTCATGACCAAACTAGAAATCTAGTTCTTCTCTAAGTGTGGTTTTCCTAGAAGTGTGCCCCATAGCATTTTGTTCTGCCTTTAATAGAGTTGTCTATCACGTTACAGTGAGCCTGTGCTTTCTCACTGGGCTCAACCACCACTGGGTCAACGACCAAGTTGGCAGTCTCTTCCCTAGCCTGGCCCCGAGGCCTATTCCACTCACTGCAAGAGCTCAGTTAGAATCCAAGACCTAAGTTAGGAATCCTTAAGCAACACTCACTTCACTGGAGACCCACTTGTAGCTACAGAAATGATTTTGATTCCAGCAGAGTTTCTTTAATATATAGTAGATACTACTGATATCAGAGTGTAACTTCCTCAGATAATCTGCCTGTCTCTTTCTTCTGAACAAGAAGGTAGGGGGAGGGGTGGGTTCAAGACGAGAGCTGGTTTTACTTACTGATATGGTCAATGGCTCCGGCACAGAACTTGCCATAGAACTTCTTGGCACCCAGACCTCGCAGATCATGAATGGTGAATGGCCAGAGATGCAAGACATTGTTTCGGGAGAAGGCATCTCGCTTCTCAATGACGACCACCTTGGCTCCCAATAAGGATAAATCAATGGCTGTGCGGAGACCACAGGGGCCAGCTCCGATGATGAGACACTGAAAAACACAGTGGCTTTCAAGGCAAAGGCAGCACCTCTTGAGGAAACTCACATTTCTTTAAATGTTTCAAAATCTCACAAACATCATCCCGAGATTCCTAAATAGGGCTATTCTTCCTACCACCAAGAAACCTTTAAACCCATCTGGGTGATGGTAGGACACCTGTGATGACTTGAGAGAAAAGCTAGTGATTGTTATGGATTAAAAAAAGACTCTGAATTGTGAGGGCTGGGCCTGAACCAAGCACATGTTCACCCTGGGTGCCTGGTAAGGCATGCAGATCATGACATGTTGACATGGGTTATCATGTCAACAATGATTTGAAAATCATACCTCATCTTTGGTCAGTAGGAGAGGCCTTTTGGAAGGCTTCTAAGTCAAGCAGATTTCTTTCTAAGGAGACACAGTTTAGTAAATACACAAGCCAGGCAAGCTTGAGAGGCCTGCAGTGGGTCTTCTCAAATGACTACTTGGAGGCAACTTTGACTTTCAAGAGTCAAAGTTTTGTATGATAAACAGAGTTCTAAAATCACCAACTTTGGATGCAAAGTCCTGGGAAATGATCTTGAAGATCTATACACTAGCAAAGAATTTCTTGAATTTTGCTGATGAATAGCTACCCAAATGCAAACCCCACTAGGAATATCTGTAGATATGCACTGACTGGGCAAATCAGAACTCATGAAAGAGCCTTAATATTATAGTCATAAAATCAGCTGCAACTTCATTTCCCTGCTTTTCCCAAACTTCTCACAGAGGTGATCTTCCATGGGAAGAAGGCAGGCAATGTTCTGCTCCTACCCCATGTCCTCACATCTCCCCTGGTGCAGGGGAGCACACCCCAGGCCTTTGCCCACGCTTATCTGTTTCATGGAAACTCTCTGCGGTGGTGGGAGAATTATGGGGACTGTATCTGAGGAGAAAAATCAAATATAGTACAAAAATGAGTAATGATGTAAGAAAATAAAAAAGGAAGGAAAAAGAGAGAGAGAGAGAGAGAGAGAAAAGAAACTCTAGCAATACTTTGGTTCACACCACCCTTCTTATCAAAAACAGACCTTTGGAACAGGGTGGAGAGCAGTCTGAGGCCTGTGGTGGAGAGCCAAGTTGGCAAGCACTATCTATACCTTAGCGGTTAGTAAGTGTGGGATGATGACCCGGTGAAGATGATTCGTCAAGCACCGCAAAGCCACGTTCAGACAGGATGGGAACAGGGCTGGAATATTTGCTAAATGACCTGCGTTCTCTTAAGGTGAGATTCAAAATAGTCTTGGCCAAATAAAAAACCTCCTCTACAACTGGACTTCAGGGCTGTTCCTAAATAGGCGAAACCCTGATTGTTCACTATGTGACACATGAGATCCACCTGAGTTGGGTCTGGCACATGGGACACACTGCACATGCGTGACGGTCCATCAAATGAGCAGAGCAACTGGATCCGGATCCACACGTTTCCACTAGGCACACGCTTGACTTTCCATACCAGGCTGGGGCTGGACTCTGCCTCGTCCTCACCCTGTCTGCCTCCTTTTTCCTGGGTCTACTTCCTTTTCACTGGCCACAAGGCCTGCGGGGGGGGGGGGGTGGGTGTCAAACCCTTACCTTGGTGTTTGTGCACGCTTTTCCCTTTTTGTAGTCTTTGTGGCTGCCCCGTTTGTCCAACTTTGCCCAGAGAGCTTTAGCTTTCCAATAGTTCAACTTGGACTTGAGCTTGTGATAGAAGGAGCGGTAATCTTTAGGTTTCAGTTCCAGGTGGTCGCAGAGCTCTTGGAAGGCCTTGAGGGTCCCCTTGCAGGTGGTGGCCTGCACAAACCGGTCGAAGAGGACATGAGCGTGATTGGTCGTCTCGGCCTTACTCTCCTCCATGCTTCCCTCTGCTCAGCGACCTCCCAGGCAAAGGAGGCACTGGGACAGCTGTTGATCCGCCTGACACTGTCACATTAATCTAAGAAAGAGAAAGAGGAAAGAATGGTCAGCAAATCCAAACTTAAGTCTATCAGTTTTCAACAGCTGTAATTCCTTTCCAGAGTGGAGTTCCTCGGTGCTGGCGTCACCCATTCAATGCCCGGGCACTGCCTGTCTTCAATACGCCACCCGCTTTCCTGGAGGTGGTAAGATGAGTAAGACAGAGTCTGCTTTCAAGGATCTTATCTGTGAGTGTAGGACAGGCTGTTAGACTCGTGAACAGAATGCTAAATGCACTAGACTAAGTGACCTGAGAGGGAGAGGCACAGGGACATGGGGGACAGAGAGGCGTCTGCTGGACCGCAGTAAGGCGGAGTTCTTCTGCAAGATGAACCATGGGGAGTGGTAGCCAGGCAGAGAAGGGGCAAGACAAGGAACAGGCAGAAAACAGGGAGGCTTGTGAGGGGCAGGCAAGAGTGAGTCACAAGCCCCAGGTTTGCAGCTCAGGCCCCTGAGTGAATGGAGAACAAGACAACAGTTGGAACCAAAACTTCATCTGTGAGGGGGGATGGAACCGTCCCATTTGCACTGTCTGGGATGCTCATGAGGCAGGCCTCGGGCTTAGGGGAACAACTGGGGACTCAGCCCCAGATGTGGGAGTGGCCAGCAGAGAAGTGGTGGCTGAGCCTATGAAAGCAGGTCCCACAGGGGAGTCCACGGGAAGAGAAGAGCATGAGGCTCAGCAACCCACAGGGGCTGGCAGAGAAAGACGCCACAGCCCTGTGAAATGCGGAGGTGTGAGGGCTGCAGAGAACCGAAGGGACGCCAAGCCACCAAGTTCAGAACTCTCAAGGTCAGCAAGGGCTTAAGGTCTGAAAATGGGCTGCCCCTGCACACAGCAGCGCATGGCAGGGCGGGAGGTCTCACAGCCGCTCCCTTTGGCTCCCAAATCCAGGTAACAGCAATGATGACGCCCGTACCGTGCACTTGGCCAGACCCTACGCCCCTCCACCCTCCGTCTGCTGGACAGCTCCGAGACGGGAGCAGCCCCTGTGCGGTCCTTTATCCGCTCACCCCCTGGCTGTGCCATCGTCTCTATTCTGCGTTTTCTTGCTCCTCGCTGCTTAGAGGGAGGAGGCAAAGGGCCAGACACCAGACGAAGCCCCAGGAGAACTGAGAAGCAGAGAAGGGTAAGAGACAAGCACTAACTTGGCTTTGAGCCCACACGTGTCAGGCACTGGTTGCGCGACCCTGTGCCTCACTCTGCCTCAGTAGCTTCAATTTTCCCTTGTGTAGGACAAGGAGGTGAGGCTAGATGATCTCTACAGCTCCCCAGTTTGGAGTTCTGTGAGGGGAGCGCTGAGGAAGTCCTGGCAGTCACAGCTCCTGGAGCGCGCCAGGATGGTCTGTCACAAATTAACCCTAGCGTGGCAGACACGGTGTCACAGGGCAAGGGGAAATGAAAGGGGAGCTGCTGATCTGCTGTGTAAGAAGGGGTGTGGGAGCAAGTGAACCCAGGGTAGTGGGAGTTACCACACTGATGTGCTGAGAAAATAAACTCTCAGGTGCCATGGAAGAGGCCCATGTTCTGCCTGATGCTCTCACGCTGGGTAAGTCACTGAGCAACAGAATCCCTTCTGGTGTGTGAAACACCTTCTGCTTCTGCCACACCTCAGCATACTACTGGGAGGTTAAACCAAATCAACTCAAGATGTGTCTGAAGTCTCATGAAAGTAATGACTGAATATAAGGAACGACCATTTTCCCCAAACGCTTTCTCTGTCGACAGACACAATGTTCTTCCAAGTACACTGAGGTCGAGTCAAAGACGGTCACTCTTTACCCCAAACACCCGGTGTCTCATCTGCAATACAGCAAGCCCCCGCTTACCACCGACAACAGATCCTTGGAAACTGACTTCCAGGGAAATAACACGACAAAACCAATTTTACCACGGATACCAGCAAGAGCTGAGTTCCCACAGCGTATTTCTGGCTACACAAGCATCACCAAAGTGCTAAAGAAAGATGCAAAAGGCTTCCAATATTAAGCAGTCATCCTCCAACCTGCTTACTCCAGCTGAGGGCTGCCGGAGGCCGGAGCCTACTCCAAGAGCTCGGGACGAGAGGGGGAGCCCACCGTGGACAGGACCCACGCCCTCCGGCAGACTGGGGCTGTGCAGGAGCAGTAACGGGCCTCGTGTGCACAGCCCTGGGATGTGGGAAGGAAGCAGAGCGCCCAGAAACCCCCCAGACACGGGGAGAACACGCACACGCCACACTGATGGGCGTTCTGGTCAGGAATCTATTTTTCCCCTCATCAACATTTTACCAAGAGGGTGTTAAACAAGATCACGTTATTTTTTGAGCACCTGCTTTGTATTTCTTACTCAACCTCCCCTGGCCCTGCCTATAAACACTATACCACTAAAAACACGGATTATCCCCAGACCCACACGGCAAGAATCCAGCAAGAAATGGGTTTAACTGGAACAAACTCTCAGTTTGCCCTAAATAAGTTTACTCTAGGTAGCAGAAAGCTGCATGAGAAATGGAAAGTTCCAGGAAAGACCCCCCTTGTTTTTCTTATAAGACAAGACTTATCTGAGAAACAGTAGCTAGTCAAAGGATGGCTTGCAGGGGCAGCAAAAACAGGCTATGTTTCTCCAAGGTCAGCGCAAAGGGCGCCAGGTAACAGCCACGATTAGAAGCAAAGGCCCCAGGTTGTTAGCTCTGCCCCTCTTCTCTGTGCAGTCGGCCCTGCATACCCCACCCGTGTTCAGTCAACTTGTACGTCACCACAGTCAGAACTTTGCATACACCAGGTTTGATCTCTGCCTGGAGTCAAGAAAGAAAAAGATTTTTTTTCCCCAAACAGCAGCCACCTTCCACTTCTTGCCAGGATTTGGAGTGCTTGGCACCCTATGTTCCTGGGAAACCAACTAGTGGATGATCCTGCAGCATGTGCTCCTACAGGCCGTCCCCGCTGCCACACCTACCACGTGCTCACCCCTCCCGCAAAGAGTCGGGGCAGTTAGCTCCAAAGGGTTCTGCTGTGTGAGCTGACCCCCCCTTAGTAGCTGCAGCCCACTCTGCTTGAAACAAATAACTCACCGCCACAGTGGGGCTCACAGCACAGAGCATTTCAAATCAAACCCCACCACAGAGGGACACCTGATAATAACCAGCCCCCAATCCTCCCGTGGAGGTAAAACACTTCCTCGAATGCACAGGTTTCAGCTGCTGCGCCAGCCGCCTGCTTCCGAGAGGTGAGAGGCGAGTCTGAGTGCCCAGTCAGGGAGACCTCAACCTGCAGGTCACTAATGACAACAGATAGTGGAGGTAAGCGGGTTCCCGGAACAATGCAACAGGCACTCAAGGTAAGACGACGCACGATGAATTCCCGTGGGGTGCCTCACTTTTCCAGCTTTGCAAGCCCAATGGCCGCAGCAGTGAGCAGCTCTAGGGTGCCTCCTGCCCAGCTCCCTCGCCTGCTGGGCTAGGGTGTCTCCTCTGAGGAGGGAACTCACCCAGCATTCTGCTACATTTGAGGCAACACGAATGCGTTTCCCTCAATTCCCAAGACCAGCCCTTCCTGGCCTCTCCTGAACCACCCCTGGGCGCCATACACCCTAAGATCCTGGAAAATCAACATTTATAATCACAGGAACCAGGAACCTTGGTCAGAAGGTGCCAGAAATTCCAGGGACTGAACAGCCAAGGTGTAGAAGGAAGGAACAAGGGAAGTGAGGCGTCTGAGGAGGGAAGAGGAAGAGGACGTGGTGCGGATTTCCATGGCATGGGGGCCAGTCCCGTCCGCTGACAATACCCGGCATGCTTTGCCCCATGGCAGCTGACTGCTGACTCAGAAGCCCTGAACATTCCTTGGCTGTGGAGGAAAGGGCTGGAGACACAGCCTACGAAATGGGCAGGAACAGGGTTTATGTTTCCATTTACAACAAGAGTAAAAGGCTGTCACTGACTCATGGCTGGTTACCAGCACGCTCAATCTCTAGCTCGTAGAATAGGTGGGTGGTTATTTGAGGGGTTGCAGGGAGAATTATATTTAAAAATAGAAAAAAAGGAAAGAGAAACAAAACAACGAAACACGAATTGTACGTCGAGAGTATGAAGCAGAGCCAAGCTGGGTGAGTTTCTCCTCCACGCAGCATATTAACACGTCAGCAGGGCCATCTAAGAAACTCTCCCCGCCACTCGGCGGCCTGGCTTATCTAAACAGAACTTTGAAGCAGGCTTATAGGAAGGGATGTTTTGGGGATGTTCCTAGGAAGAAAGTCTGCTGACTAATGCACTTTCGGTTACAGAGGTGCCTTCAAATTCTGTGTCAGAGATAAGAACCAAAATGGCCAACATGCCTTGGGTCCCTGACCAGTGTTTCTGCAGCAAGGACCGCTCAGGCCACTCCCACCTGTGAGAAATGACGACCTCTGCCTTTCGACTGTCCCCAAACTCTAGAAAGTCCAAGCCAGAACCAAACACTCAATAAGCAGAATAGCTGATGCTGATGCCTGCCCCCAAATAACCCAGAAAAATAAGGAATCAGAAAGAACAGTGCCCGAGGCCCAGCGTCTTATAGTTTCCTCATTTGTAAAGTAAAAGTAATAGCCACAAATTACAGTGTTTTGCAGGAGTTGAGGCCCTGAGTGTAAAATGTCCAGCAGGTCAGTCATACAGCAAGACCAATAAAAGGCAGTATTGTTATTATTGTCTAGAAGTTTATAATCCCAGCATCAAAAGGTCATGCTCAGCTACTTAAATGGCTCCTTATATAACAAGACGAGAAAGCTCAGATAGCATTGCTTTTTGAAAGAAAGAAAAATGTCTCAGAACTTTTCTTGTTTTTCATCCCTCTTTTTCGTCTCCATTCCATCGAATTCTAGCTCCAGACTACTTCTAGTTCTCTCCATTCATTCTAGTTTCTAGAAGATGCAGTGATAGCATTGAGGGAGAAAGGGGCCAAAGGAATAAACTCTGCATCGTAAGCTCCTGACAAACTTAGTTATTAAAACGAGAAAGATAA